TTTTCAAAATGTGACATGATTAAGAAGTGAATTTTAAATACTAGAGTACAAGGTCAATAGTCTCAATAGGAAATAAAGCAAATCTGTAATCTCTCATGGTTGACATGATGATCAACTGTGATGAACGATCAAATGATTCATCTAACCTAGAAAGGGGAACGTGTGTATCAACTGTCTTTCCAAATACGCTTAGGAAGAACTTGAAGGACTTTACTCTTGAAAGATATATAGGGGAAGGATTCTCTTATTGCCAAGTATCCTAGTTTCAAAACAAACAGTGAAAACAGCTTAGCTAATAAAGGGCATCATCAGAAAGTTTGCTGAGGTAATACTTTATATTTGTTCCTATGTCTTGAAGAAGCAGAAAAATACTAATCAATCAATGTTGATGCTTTTTGTTTTCTTTTTTATTGCTAGAGCAAACCTAAATGTCTAGTGTAGATAAGGTAAGGAGATGTGGCTTCTGATGAAGACACAATAATAAATGGGATTAAAGGGGCAGGAGGCTAATTTGTGCTATCCATGTATGTATGTATCTATCCATCCATCCATCCATCCATCCACCCACCACCCACCTGTCCACCTATCTAAACATACAACGAGTATGTTTATTTCTTGTTTAAATATAGAACAAGATGCAATGGAAAAATAATAATCTATAAAACAAGAGATTAAAATATAAAAAGATATATATGCAGATACCCAGAGGAAAAGGCAGTAAGTGGCAAATGTCATGTAATTATATCCTAAAGTTTTAGTAGTAATGGAGTGGTAAATGGAACGATTTCGCTAGCAAGGGTGATGATAAGGGTAGTTTTCACAGAAGGAGAGAGGGAAAAAATGGTGAAGTTCCTAGAAAAATTTGAACTTGATTTGTTCAGCAGTGAGAAAACCACTGAAGGTTTCTGAGCTGAGGAGTCATGGGCTCAGCTCATGGCTGTATCTGGCGGAACTAATTAGAACAGCAGTTATGTGTGCACACATATGTGTGCATTCTCTAATGAAATGCTACTGGATAGAGATCAACTTCAGGGGGTGCTGCAAGTAATTGATTATAAAAAATAAAAAAACAAAGTTTAAGAATGATTTACTTTCTTGTATTAATCTTAGCATATTCAAGGTTATTTCTAAAAGATAACACCTTTACCAAATGCATTATCAAATAGTAGAGAAATGCATAGAGGATAGCTGGGGCACAGGAAATGGTGGGAACTTGGACAACCAACCATAGTGTTCCTGCTTGGAAAAGTCATCTGTCTCAGGGTCTCTGACAGGCTCAGAGTTAAAGATCAGTCAAGTGGAAAGTAGAAACAAGAGGTCAAGAAGATATTCAAATAAGAAGCTTCTGCAATCCTTTAAGATATGAAGTAATAAAGAACTAAATTAAACAGAGATAGTCTAACTGGAGAGGGAGGAGTCGATATGCGAGAAGTGACCAAGGAAAACTGTAAAGTCACCATTTGTAGGGGACAAAGGAGTGCAAGAAAGTAAGCTTTCCTTCAAGTCATAAGGGTAAGGATAGGTTTTAAGTGCTCTCTTAAGTTATAGATGAATAGGTGAGTGGCAGGAAAACTAAATCAATCAATCAATAATGTACACACAGAACATAAACAACGCAACACCACATCTAGCCCAAGGTTAGGAAAAATGTCTACAGTTCCCAAGTCCCTTCCTGGACTCTGTCCTACAAATAAATTCTAAGAAAGTATTCTCTGTTCAGCCACCCACCAACTGCGGAAGTGGTACAGAGATTCAAAGAAAGCAAGGAAAACAGAAAAATCAGCTGAAAGGAGTTTCTCGGAACACTACCAAAGGAAAACCCTTGAAAAGTTGAGATCACCATTGTAGAAACCAATCAGGTACATGAGAACCTTTTGAAATGCACAGTATATTTTTCAGAGTCAGTGCCTTGAACAGCACAGCAACTTGATAGCACTGAAAAAAAACCATGGGTCAAAGAAGAAATTCTAAGAGAAATATTTTCCACTTCAAACTAAATAATAATGAAAATACAACTTAGCAAAATTTATGGAATGTACTTAAAGTATTGCTAAAACGAAAATTTATGACTTTAAATGCTCATATTTGGAAATATAGGCATTAAAATAAAGCTTCTAACTTAAGAAGCCAGATAAGGAGCAAATAATACACTAAATAGAAGAAAATAAAAATAAGAGTGGAGAGCAGTAAACTATTAAAAAAAAAGTAAAGAGTAAAAAGTTGTTTCTTTAAAATAGCAATAAACACTCAGCAAGACTTATAAAGAACAAAAAATAGAAAACAAATGACTATAATCAGGAATATAATAGGAGGCATCAATATAGATCTTACAGAAATAAAAAGGATAAAAAATATATTATAAAAAATTATGCCAATAAATTTGACAACTTAGATGAAATAGACAAATATCATGAAAAGCAAAAATTAATAAAACTGACTCAAGAAGAAACAAAAATTCTGAATAGCCAACTATCTATTAAAGAGTTTGAGTTCAAAATTAAAACCTTCCCCAAATGAAAATTACAGGCACAGAGGATTCACTGATGAATTCTAGCATACATTTAAAAAACTGTAATATAAACTTGACAAAATAACAACAAAAACAAGCTAGAACTTATAAATGGGCTTAAGGTTGCAGAATACAAGGTTAATATAAAAAAAAAAAAAAAATCAGTCGTACTTCTATATACTAAAAAAGAATATGGAAAATTCAAATTTTAAAATGTCATTTAATATAACATTATAAATGAGAAAAAATAGGAATAAATCTTTAAAAGATGTGCAAGATCTTCATTAAAAACTGCAAAACATCCATGAGAAAAGTTAAAGAAGACCTAAATAAATGGATCAACAGACCATGTTCGTGAATTGAAAGACTCAATATTAAGATGTCCATTCTCCTCAAATTAACCTAAACATTCAACATAATCCTATCAAAACACTAGTAGATCCTTTTTAATAATATGACAAGCTGATTGTAAGATGCATAAAGAAATTCAAATGCTCTATAGATAAAAAGCAAGCAATAAATTTTCATTAAATTCAAAAAGTAGAAATAAAAGCAATTACCTTGAGAGACTACAAACTTGATAGGCATACCTTCTGAAGCTTTTATGAAAAGTTGAGCATTTGAATATAATTATCTAAATGCACAAATATTCGGTTCTTTTGGATTTCTCCCCACTTACAGTTTTATGTATTCTTATTATTATTATTGATTTCAGAGAGAGGAAGAGAGAGGGAGGGAGAGATAGAAACATCAATGATGAGAGTCATAGATTGGCTGCCTCCTGCACGCCCCCTACTGGGGCTCGAGCCTACAACCCAGGGCATGTGCCCTGACAGGGAATCAAACCGTGACCTCCAGGTTCAAAGGTCAGTGCTCAAACACTGAGACACACCAGCCGGGCACCGTTTTATGTATTTATAATACACTATGCATTAATCCATATCCAAAGAAAGAAATCATTTACAGGGTGACAACATTAATAATGTTTACTAAAAGAAAAACTGGGTTGCAATCTAGTGCTAATTAGTGAATATTCCTTAACATGCATAGAGAATATATAACATTTAACTATAAGTTTCATAATTAGATACCACTGTACTGCCCTTAAGAAAAATCACAAGGGCATCATGTGCCTTTAAATACTGGCACGTTTTACATCTTTCAATTACACTAGAGCATCAATGCTCAAAGAGTGGTTTGGGGACTGCCCAAGACTCTTAATAATCCCACTAACACATAATTTGCCTATTTTACCCTCAAATTCTCATAAAGTACCATTTTCCCAGAGGTTACATGACATATAACAACAGATTAAACGCAGAAGCAAAAATGAGAATCCAGCTGTCTTCTAAGACAGCACTTAAAGAGATTTAAAAAGTACAAAACAATGCCACTTTTCAATATTTTTGTCCTGGAAAAGAATCAAATTCCATTAATTTTTATGTCACATGTAATGGCTTTATAATTATTATCCTAAAGGAGTATTTTTAGATTCTATTTTAATTTTTAATATGGTAAGTATTGATAAACATAATGCACAATAAAATGTTTGAGAACTCGAAGAGCTTCTATGAATATAAAGTGGTCCTGATACCAGAAAAATTGAGAATCACTACAGTACAGTAATAAACAGTACACGGAAATACCCTGATCACTAAAATGAAGAAGAAAAAAAAATTATTGTATAAAGGATTACCATATGTCAATGCTTAGTTTTTCTTAGTGGGACCCTATATTAAGTCTCTTTTGGGACCTTGAATTAATAAAGTTCACTAATAAAAGGCTTAAGGCCAACACAACATGAGATACACTTAGGATCCCCATGTATAACTTCTGTTTTTCTTCTTCCCACCATGATGCATCTCTACTATAACCAAACAGAAAAGTAGTTTTCCAAGTCTCTTGTCTAACTTTTAAAGTTAAGTATTGCCTACATATTAAACACATTAAACTCTACCCCTGCTCTCCCAAACTCTCCTCCCCTTATTCTGTTGGTTTCACCGCTGTGCCCATAGCCTTCTAGCATATAATTTACCTATCTGTACTTATTTTCTGTCACCCCACTCAATATAAGGTAAACAAGAGTGGGATGTTTTCTGATTTATTCATGAATGTATCCTCAGCACCTGTAACAGTACCTAAGACAAAATAGGAACAAAATAAATATTTGTTGAATGAATTAGTAGATATCTTACTAAAGTAAAATATAAATTTTGGCATTTTACCAGAAGAACAAACATGTCTTACGAAATTAACACTTTCAAATGGCCAGTAGACACAAGAGCTATGCAGACAGGAGGGATGTGGTAGCTGATGGAAAGACTCTCAGGGCGGAACAGGTTTCCCTTCTGGACCCAGAAATGGAGGAGAGAGAAAGGAAAGCGAAGACTATGGAAATAATCTGAACTAGAGGTAAGAAAGAAGCTTCTTTCCACTCCTAGATTCCAGGAACACAAGCAAAGAAAAATAAGAGTGAGAGCAGCTAACACACCTCTCTTCTCCCGGTGTATTTCCTCCAGAAGCTGTTCCTGCCTTTCGATCTGTTCAAAGAGGCACTGGAGCTCAGATTCCTTGTTCTCAGTCATGTTCCTGAGCTGCTGTCTGCACAGCATCAGCTCGTGCCGCAGGCTTTTCTCCCTGTTTTCTCTCTCTTTCAGTTCCTCGCAGAGCCACTGAAGTTTAGTCTAAAAAATGACATTTATAGCTAATTAAAAAAACAAACAAGATAAAAATCTAGAAAACAGAAGCATTTCAAAACAGTAGGAAAAATAATATCATGATAATATGAACAAATATAGACAACAACGAACAAATATAAGCGAAATAAAAAATACACAATGGTTCATATCAGTTAAAACTTGGTGTGAAATTAAGCCATGATTTTCTTGGATTCTTATAAAAATTTGGTATAACCTATCATCTTTGGATAGGAAGTACTACAGAAAAATTTGGCCTACTAAACTTCTAATAATAACACAATTAGCCCACTAAAAGAAATTTAGTAAAGCATTTAAAAATCAGAACCACCCTGGAATAGAACTAGAGATTTGTTATAAAAGGGGGTTTTACTTCAGAGATTTAAAACAAAAAAAATCTAGTTTTTCTTCCTAAAAGTGCATATCTCCAGGCAGCTAATCAGGTAGAGAGATTCTCTATAGGCTTAGGGAGAGAAAGCCCACCTTTCCCCACCTGGAAGAGCTGAGGAAATTTGGTCAAAGCAACTCTCTTTTCCACAGACCAACCTCACCACCTTTAATATTTAATCTGTTCACACCCAGTGACTGAACTACAAATTTAGAAAACAACTTCACATTTCCCTTTTCTCAGTGCTTTCCTACCTCCTTCATCCCAGTCTTTGGCCTGTGTTAAATACCATTGCTAAGAGGTAATAATGGAGAAATAACAAATCTGTTTTGTCATAGCAATAATCCCATTGGTTGTGGTAAGAACAAAACAATACTCCCCCAAAAAAAACACCCTCTGGGACAAAGCACTAATCAGGTTATTTATGAACTGAATTGTGTCCCCTCAAAATTCACATGTTGAAGCACTAAACCTCCATGTGACAGCATTTGGAGATAGGGCTCTTAGTAAGATAATTAAGGTTAAATGAGGTCATAAGGGTGGGACCCTTAATCCAATAGGGGAAGTCAAAGAAACTTAAGGGCTTATAGCAAGTTTGCACTCCCTCACCTTTCTCTCTGATTTCCAAGCGCCACCCCCAACTTCCCTGAACAGCCCCATCCCACCCCGCCGACACATGCATGAAAAGGTAGCATTCCACAAGCCACCTTCATCTTGGGCTTCTAACTTTTAGAACTGTGAGAAAATAAATGTCTGTTGTTTAAGCCACCAAGCAGTCTGTGGTATTTTGTTATGGCAGCCTCAGCAGACTAATACAATACAACCTCTGGCTTTAGTTTATTTGTATGAAGCTTTTATTCCACTGCCACACAAAATTTAAAAACAGGTTATAGTTAGATGCTTTTTATGAACTGAATATGTATTCAGAAAATATTATTAATCCTACAAAACAAAATACCAAGTTATGGAAATTTAATCAGCCTATAATCAATTATGAGAATCAGTATTTGTTAGAGAAACACCCAGCATCTTCATTAAGTATGTGGAGAAACAGCTTGAAGCACAGTATAGGAATAACTTTAACAATTCCAAATAACAATTAGCTGACAAGGCTATTAATCACAGTGCAAACACCATTCTATTAACCACTCACAAGAGCATTTTACAGATTACATAATAGGCTCATTCATTTAACTACATCAACAAGTATTGTTAAATAAACCAAAACAGAGAAAGAATTTCCCAATAAGGCAGTTTTTACCTTCAAAGCTGACAGCTTGCAATTAGGTGGGAATATTTATAATTATCTAGTAAAACAATCAAAATGGTATTTTTAATCTATAAGAATATCCTACTGAGATTTCGTGTAATAATATACTAAAATCATAAAGGTCTCAAAGCTTAAAGCCAAGGGAAAGAGAAAATTTGAATAAAAATACTATAGTTGATAAAGTTAGCAACATTAGGACCCTTAATTATGGTTGGCTAGCTTCAAAATTCATCCGAGGCAACAGCCTCCATGGCAGCTTCTGTATACCTCTACATCAGCTCTTAAATAAAATATTGAAATTATTTACGTAAGTGTCAGCTTTTCTAGACAAAATATGATCCTCAAGAGAATCATTTCTTGATTCATTTTTATGTCCACAGCATACAGCATAGTACCTAGGACACAGTAGTTTCACAGTAAAATCTGTTAAACTGAATAAAATCTGGTCTCTACATCCCATCAAGATTTATGACAAAAACAAATCCCTAATCCCTGGGAGCCCCTTGCCTGGCATTCCTTAACATCCATCTCAAGCCTCTTCCACCCCACAATGTCTTATTCTTAACATTCACTGGTTATTTTATCCGTGAGCCTGGCCCAACTCTAAGTTGGACTTCGTGTGTATATTATGCCAACAAAGCAAAAGTGACAAAATCCCCACTCAGTCCTCTAGTTCTTTTAGGATTAACACTAACAGAAGGAATTCATGTGGTGGATTTACGAAAACAATTACCAAAGGCCCTCAGAGGTCCTTCTAATACCGCAAGATGTCAGCACAGACAAGCTGAATAGCAATTCTACTTTCCATAGTTTTTGTCCTTTGATTTCAGATCTTATCTTCAAAACTTATAGAGCTGTCCCCTCATCGTTCATGGGAATTACAGTATTGTGGCCCATCAATAACCTAAGCCATCTCTCCAGTAAATAGATTCAATTCCTCCTTAGTCAGTTGGTCAGTGTGGGGCTGCTTATCAGAGCCCTTTTACCCGGTAGAGGAGCAGTTGTCTCATGCAGTATTAAAACTCGTCTGATCAGAAGTTCAATCCCATTAAATGATAAGGGAAAACTGCTCACTAGCTCCCAAATTAAAGAGCTTTGATTAAGAGTCATCTCTGGCTCTCATAATTTAGCTGAACAACAGCAGTGAAAGCTTTCTGTTCAGAAATGATAAAGATTTCAACTTGAAAGAAAATTCCAAGTACATTGCTCTTGTCAAAACTGTGGAGTTGTGGAAAAGAAAAAGAGAGAGAGAGAGAGAAATGCTTTATTAATGCACAACAGAAGTTTCTAGTCAAAAAATTCTGGGACAGCAAAGCATATGTATTCTAAATTTCCTGTGCAGGTGGCATAATGCAAATTTGCATTTAGTTCTATCAAAAATGGTTAGGAATGCATAGGGTCACTCTTCTTAAAGCAAGACAGAAAATTTTAGAAGGTTGGGTAAATTTCTATGTGTAATCATAATACTCTTAGTTTCTTATTAAGAATTATTTTGGCCCGGCCGGGCGTGGCTCAGTGGTTGAGCGTTGACCTAGGATCCAGGCAATTGGGGTTCAATTCCCGGTCGGGGCACATGCCCGGGTTGCGGGCTTGATCAATGACTCTCTCATCATTGATGTTTCTCTCTCTCTCTCTCCCCTTCTCCTTTCCTCTCTCTGAAATCAATAAAGATATATTTTTTTAAAAAAAAGAATTTTTTTGAGGGGGCTTCTCTAATGCATACCTGGCCTTCAAAGGTGAACTTTGTCTTTCCACCACCTCCAGTCTGTACCTTATGCACCCATCTCGGGCATTATCTGTATTTTCTCAAATATTCTCATTTTCTTACCATTGATATACCTATAATTAACCAACTGCAGAGCTTGGGCATATTTTTTGTATGACCAAGTTTAAGTACTGCATTTTTGCAGAAGCCTTCCGACATGTGGGCAGCATCACAGCTTCCCACCCTCCCAGCACAAACATCATAGTTAGTGCTTCCTCCATCTGTGTTCTTCTGTCAATGTTGACATATTTCTACAACTATATAACACGCCTTAAGGAGATTTAAAATTTGTTTACTTCATCATTGCCCCCATTAAATTCCATGGCTTGCCAACACTTATATGCCCAGTGTCTATAAACAAAAAAGTACACAATCAATACATTTTGGCTGCAAGAAGACGTGAGATGGCAATGCACTTGATGGTAAGAACGTTAACTGTGAGTGGACATAGCATGTAACCCATTTTCCCATTCTGGAAAAGGCACACCCTTCTCTGAATACTCGCTTTTCTCATATTTTTAAATAAGGACACTACAAACTCAAAGGTTCCTTCTTGTAATAAAATCCTAACTTGGTCCACAACTGATCAAGTTTACAGTACACTCGGTCTTCTTAGAGAATTTAAATGGGATGGAAGGCTTTGCACATTATTTTAAAGCTGAAAAAACTAGTCTAAAAAGGAATGCAAGTGCTTATGTACTAATACTTGATTAAAGAGATATCTACATCTTACGTGGTCATAATTTTCTATATATTTTAATTTCTATATACCTAAATTTCTATATATCTGAATTTCCAAGTTGATCTATGAAGATAGCTGATAATTATACAAAGTGTAGAATATTAGCAAATTGCTCAATTTTACTTACATTTGCTTACCTTCCATTAAATTTGAATCATAATGCTAAAAAACCAGGAAGCATGAAAGTTTATCTTCAGAACTTAAAGTCAATCCCTCCAATTTTGTAAATGAGGAAACAAGACACCCAGAGAGGTGAAGGGATTTGCTGAGGCCACACAGAGACTTGGCAGCCTTGGAGCTTACCCTCAGAAACCAACATATAATAAGTATATATGTGTAATGAAAGGCGGTAACAGCTGCCTTGACTTTTGTACCCCTCAGGGACATCGCCTACCCCAAGGAAAAGGCACAAGAATCTGTCTCTCTGACAGTCTGTTTTTAATATTTCAACAGTTTACCTTCCTTTTTTTCTCATCCTATCCCTATACATTTAAGCTAACTTTTTAACGTTAAGCTAAAGGAACATGGAGGATTCCTAAATGCGTTACAACAATATCTTTCCCAGCAGCAAAGTACTATAGCTTCTCATGCTCAGTTATGTGACAAAAATACGTGGCTGGCTCAAATAGAACACCTTGAAGCCCATAAATACTATGATAACTTTAGGATTCAAAGATTATTTACCTTGCTTTCTGCTAGCCAGCGATGTGGGTCATAATTAATGTCAGGGCCAGATGAAAAAAACTAAAAAATGAAAAGAGAGAGAGAGACAGAAAATAGTCAATTAGAAGTAGATTTTTCTCTGAAATGAATTTACCTAAATGAACATTTTCACCAGAACATACAAAAGTTTAGTGCCTAAGCTAAGGGATTTAGAAAGAAGACAGTTCCTACCAAGTACTCAACCAATTCCAAAGCACCATTTATTTAGCATGTCTACTTATGTAAGCTTACACATGTATATGTAATGTATGTCTTGACAGTAAATGTTTAGCTCAAATACAGAGACGTGTATCAACGCTCAAGTACCATCGCTGTTAGAATCTCTGGGGGCTGATCCCAAGCGGCCTTGATTAAACCAGTTTACTTCATTTTGGGGCTTCTTTCTTTTCCTCAGTCCTGCTCCACGTAATGCACTGCACAGTGGGCTAGGTGTAATTACACGGAAACTTAATTCTTTGTCTCATTCATCCTTCTTTAATTTTATACTCTGAGGGCTATTTTGTCTCATTAATGGTTGTGTAAAAATGACAGAAACGAATCATACAGTCGTTCCTTTATATCGCATGATGGTAACCAAATCCCACAATAAAAGGCTGTCTATGCCAGCTGCCCTGATTTCCTTCACACCCATTCATAAAACCACCGTCATCTGGTTCTGCACTATTACTGATAAACTGTACTAAAGGTTGTCAGTGATTTTACAATTGTAAATAGAAACTTTTTTCTCAATTCCTACTCTTGTTGAACCTGATATTTTTGCAGGACTTCTAGAAATGTTCTCTTAAAACTCTCCTGTCCTTCTGCAAAAGACATCTATTCCTATTCAATTCTTACACACTTCCTGATGTGCGTGCCCATCTCTCCCTTAGGGAATGTCATTAGGAAATTCACTGAGACGTGAAAAATGCGGAATGAGTGCGGCCACATCCACATACAGGAATGTTGTATTCTCATACCCAACCTTTCTCTCATCCACTTTTTCACTACCTGAATCTCATCCAACTCTCATGCCCTCTCTCCCTACCTTTTCAAAGAAATTTTCCCGAATCGCTCTAGTTCATAGCAAACAAAATGTGTCTTGATCCAATGCCTGTCCTCTTTATGCTCTACAAATAAACGAATGCTCAGACCAAGTGTTACGGGAAAAGCTCTTGAATTATCAAAGACTGGTCTGGGAAAATGATGTATCTTTAATTCAGACATTTCCCTAATTGTTTTATAATGGTGGTGGTGATTCATTAAGTGTCTATCCTTAAGTTTTCAAACACTACAAACATTTACTAAGTACAACAATAAATATGGTGGCTGGAAAAAGATAATAGTAAGTAGAAATAATACCAATATCTCCAAGGACTTTTCCCAGACTTGTTTGTTACGTATCTGTTACTCAGTTCGTCCCACAGCACAGTCACTCTCCATATAAAATGGCTGAAAATTTCAGCAGGAATATTTTAAAAAGTCAACAAATGACAGGGAATAATGGGAATTCATCCATTTTAAAAAACACTTTACAAGGACCACCACTCTCCCACAGCTCTCTGAACTATAAAGCAAAGAATTGATTTTAAGAAACGCCCAAGGGTGGTTTCTTTGAGGTGGGAACAAATGTTTTATTCTTGGGTGTGTTTTTTTAAGTTTATAGAAATAAAACAATAGAAGTTATGCACAGAAAGACACCCACAATGAAAAAATATGTACTCCTAAAAAAAACTGAATAAAATTTCCATTCTTCTAAATGTATTTCTACCCATCACTTGGACTGAATTAGTTTCTCTCTAGGGGAAAAAGTGTAAAGACCCATTACTATGATCACCCCATTCCTAGAAGCCTATTAAAAAAATAAGGTGCTTTTCAGAATAGATTTGATGGAAGAATAATTTAAGCAATCTGCTATGTGCACACTATGTTTTAGCCTATAATTACCCATAATGAGGTATATATACCTTATAGGATAATCCAAATGTTTCCATTTTTACATCTCTACTTGATCGAAAACAAGTTGTCCTGACATACATACTTACGTATAGAATAAATATTGCATTAATATGTGATTCTTTTCGATGAAATTAGGATTTCAAGGCCACACATCCTTTAAATATACGTAAACATGAATCGTAAATAAATACAGCAGCATTAGACAGAAAAAATAAATAAACCAGCATTATAACAGACCCTATAACAGGACTAAAAGGGTCAGTTTTTCCCTGTGGCCAGTTACTTCTTATATTTGTCCTCTTAAACTGACACCTGATTGGTTTTAAAATTGTACAGAGAAATACATATTTTAGAAATTCCATGAACTCCACCAAATTCTATCAGTTGAAATATTTTCATTAAGGTCAAAATCCTAAGATACCTTCCACTTCATGAGTAGAACTATAGTTTTATTTTCTTTAAAACACCACTTAAGAAAGAGAAAAGCCCAGGGGGGCGTGGCCCAGCGGTTGAGCATCAACCTAGGATCCAGGAGATCGCGGTTCAATTCCCGGTCAGGGCACATGCCTGAGTTGCGGGCTCCATCCCCAGCAGGGGAGTGTGCAGGAGGCAGCCAATCTATGACTGTCTCATCACTGATGTTTCTCTCTCTCCCTCTCCCTTCCTCTCTGAAATCAATAAAGACATGTTTTTTAAAAAGAGAGAAGAAAACAATGGTAAGGAAGAGCAGGAAAACTGGAAAGGAGTGTGAAACGCAGTGGTTACTTTCTGAGGAACAGGATGAATGGCAGAATGAAAAGAAATACCTGAAGCGCATTTTAAAAGCCTTATGCATGATACTATAATTTAAGCACTGTCGCATCATCAAGGGAAACAAACACAGGGGCAAATGAGAGCTGTGTCAGGTTATACCATATCAAAGCAATCCAATGCTCTCTGTCTGTGACACAGCGGTACTAGAACCTAGAGTTAATAGAGGCGATTACCTTCAAGAAAGTAACAACACCCATGATTACTTCTGTTTTTATTTACCATTTCACTAGGACTATAAATTGAGTAGCAATCAATATCTCATTTTAAAGATAGAAAAGCTAAATTAAATATTCTTTGTTTAAATAGGAAAGGCAAATATCACAGTGGTTACTTGATTAGGCTCTAGAGTTAGACTCTCAAGACCTGAAGTCCTAGTTGTAGCATTTAACTAGAGAGATGGTCAGGGGCAAGTTACTTAACCCCTCCAAGCCTTGCCTTCTCTTGCCAAAGATGGATTTAATCAGAGTACCTATAGGATAGGGTAGTTTTAGGGGTTAAGGGAGAGACTGCATGTACCATACTTACCACAGTACCTGTAATATAACTAGTACTCAATTGATGTTAGCCAGTAATATGCCAACAATAACAAAAATGGCCTATGATTGTTCAAAACCCAGGTCTCTTGACTCCAAGGATGTATTTTAGCCAGAGCTGGTGCCTCTCTTGTAAGACATTTTCTTTTACAGAGTGAGACACAGGCAATCCAGTGGAATCCCAGCACGTGTTCCCTCACCCTGACTGTGCAATAGATATAGCACCTCATTCTAAAAATGCAAGATGTTATTTTCTTTCCTAAAATTTTCTGAAATACCATGTAACCATGCATTAAAATCTTACTATAATTATATATTAGGAAACAAAGTGAAAGGTACAATGAGAACTCATAATTACTTTGAATTTCTCCATCGAGTCCCTGGAGAAGGTCTTACAAGCTGTGTCAATTTCCTTCCCTATCATACCAAGAATGGACTCCTGCTCGGTCTCCAGAGAAAGAAGTTGGTCCTTGAGCTGCAGCCTGGCCTCTTCCATTCTCCTTAAGTGCTCCTCTTCATTGCTTATATGTTTCTCCTGCAGCAGGCATGAGAAATAAAACAATTATTAAATGGCAGCAAGAACCACCTGCAATATCTGAACAACCAGCTCAAAGAAGTGTACCAAAGACAGATCTGACTCTGTCAGTCCCTTTACTGAAATAAAACATTCTGCCTACTCACTAACTGAGGTCAAATCATAGAGAATTCAGAAGGAGGGCACTGAGGGAATTGGTGAATGGACACTTGACAAATAAAATTATAGTTGATCTGTAACCAAAAGAAAAAGTTGAAACATATCCTTTACCATTTTAATCATTTAATATCATTAATGGATCAAAGAGTAAAAGCTGATACTACAAACTGACTTTGAGCTTTCAACAATTAGTAAAACACTACAAAATTCAAACTGCCAAATAAGATAGTGTTGGCTTCATTTCAGAAAAAAATAAGTGTTACTACTTTAATGTCATCAAAACATCGTTTTTAAAAAGTCTAAGTTTTCAAATACAGTCACACTGCATAAATGCTTCCAGCCACAAAAATTTGATAAAAGCAAGATGGAGGCTCTTTTCAAGTAAGCAAGTAGTATATTTAACAAAAGGGGATTCTAAGGAACCCTCTAAGAGATTACAAGGACTTGGGGGCCCCCTGTAGGCAAAACAATCTTCAATCATGACTACACAATTTCATTCCTAGAGAAATTCAAGTCGTACTGCATAAGGCTTGGAGGAAAAAAACAGAATCACTAAAATTATAAGCGCAAACAGTGGACCAAAAGTCATGATGGCTGGCTAGTTTCGCCCCTAGGCTTTCCAGAGTTGCCTAATCATCTTTACCTACCCTAGTAAATGCAACACAAGCAGGAAGATTATGTAGTCAACAAACCCAGCTTGAATTTAAAATAACAAAGAGATCTGCTCAATGAAAAATAATCAGAAAAGGTAGAACAGTATTTTAGCAAAATAATCACACATATTTCCTTTAAATACAACTTACTCTTAAAAACCAATGAAACACCCTCTGCGCAAAAGAAGTCCTTTCACACCTGTCTACTGCCCTCCCTCCACCCTCCTTTCCACTCTCTCATACTTGAACCTCTTGCAGCTTCTCAAATATGCCTACATGCATATTGGTCTCTTCTGACCAATCTGACGTGTTTAACTCAACTTCAAGTTGCACTGTTTCACATGGAGCTGGTAGCCAAGAGACAGCATATATCTTCATGAGTATATCAACCTGGTCTGGACCTCAGCTTTGTAACTTAGGCACTGGGTTTTCTTTTCTTTTTTCTTTTCTTTTTCTTTTTTGTACTATAAGTGGAATCACCTTTTAGCAGTAGAGTAACATTAAGATCACGAGAGACTAATGTACAAACTAGAATGCCACTCAATTAACGACATTAGTTTACGATGAGAACCATAACTGCCATATGGATCAGAATGCTCCTATCAGCATAACTAGTACATTTTCTCCCTGTAGACCAATCTAGATGAGAAGGCAAATTATAATCAGAATGTTGCTTAATGAATGAGAAATCAGAGCAGGGGGTGGCAGCCTGCCGTGTCCACCTGCACATCAGGGACAAGCAAACCATGATAACAAGAGTGCTCCATTCTCCCGGGCAGTGTTTGGATGGAGACTGCCCAAGTACATCTCCCTAATTTTCTGCTTTGTCCACATTCGGGTTCTGACACATTCTCCCTCCTGATTAATATAGCATTTCTTTAGCTGTACAGATATCTTCGCTGAGTCATAACCTCATCTAGGAACCTTTATGAAAAATTAACATCCTGGCTCTTAACAATATTTGATGATTTTTATAGTTTACTTAGTGGAAAGCAACCTTACTGTCCAGTCTCATGGCTACCAGCTCCTTTGAAAGAGTGCAACTACAAATAGTTGTATGGGAGGAGCCACATGCAGACATACCTGCCATCTATACTTTTTAGCCTTCAAAGTTCATCCTCAAGACTCCTTTCTTTCTTAATCGCCCAAGATAGAATATTTCCACAGCTCATTATTTATATTATAGTTTTAAAAAAATGTATCAAGCTGTAATGTAATTGTTTTTGCACCCATCTCCTTCAATAAACTGCTTATTTCAGAAACCCACAAAATATATTTATAATTATCTTTAACTTTGCTACGTAAGTTATTTAAACTTTTTTTTGAAGACTCAAATTCAACACTGTTAAGATCATTTCATCAATTACCATGCAGATCTATATACTCCGAGGTTACACAGGTGTGTGAGGAGGTTTTCTCTACACGTACACAGGCTCCCCCCAGACTGCTGCTCTCGCGCTGGGGTGATGTCAGTAAAGAAAATACTCTATCACGGGTTACTGATGTAGTTCGAGGACAACTGCTCATAATCTAAATCCAGGCAATTCACAGTAGTGTTCTAATGGATCTTTCTGTTCTCATTTCCCTCACAGCCATCTTTCTTTTACCAACTATCACTTTTCTGTTATTTGACTCTTGTTAATAAGAAGACAAAACTACTTCTATATTTTTATATTCTTAAAATGTTGATAATGTCAGAAAAAGCTCGATAAATTCAATCTCTTTAGCAAAGACTGAAAATTTCATTATCCAACTCGCTGTCCCATGTGAGACAGTTAGCATGCCATGTCTAATCTCCCTTTGAAGTGAAACTCAGAATGATGAACTCACCTGGACCTTAGAGATCAGCCAGTTCAACCACCTGCTGTTTCAGAAACTTCTTCTTTTACATTTCTGATAGAAGGCGATCCAACCCCTACATGACCAGCTCAAGTTTCAAGGAACAGAACACTTGACAAAACTGTAAAATCTCATTAGTCTAAGTGCTATAGTCAAGAGTTAAAGTAATTAATTGAATCCTCCACCCCTGCTAAATTTTCTAACACTCCAGGTAAAGATCCCTGTTCTTTTATTTAACTAGGTTTCAGATACGGAACCATCCTCTGCATGTGATGCAAGACCCTAAACCCTAAGAGTTAAGTAAGCTTTTCCATTCTGGACTTACAGAATTGCAATTTCATTTATTCACTCACTCAACAAATTTCTATGGCAGACTACCATGGTAAGACATTCTTCTGGGCAAAGGGACAGAATGAATGAGACAGATGAAGCCCCTGCCCTCACAGAGCCAAAAGATATCTCCATTAAATTGGATTTGTTTTATTTGTGGCTTGAGAATATTCATTGGTATACTAATTGTGACACCCAATAAATTAGCTCTTTCTCTCCCAGCTTCATGTTTCAGGAACAGCTCTAGCCATGAAACTGGCTGATATTAACCCAACCATCCTGGCTGACTGGAGGCATATAGATTAACAAGGGCAGATGAGAATTTTTAGGTACTATTCTGGCTACTCCCTGGGCTTCCAGTGAATTCGAAGGGAGCAATAATTCTGCAACAAAATCTACCACATTTCTAGAGAACCAGAGGTAAGACAAGGTATTCTGGAGACTGCTTAGAAATGTGGAAGATACAGATAGTCTGACTTCAATGTTTCAGGGTGAATGGACACAGACACCTGGGTCTTGGGGATATAAGGACCTTCTTTGTGGGGATAGACACAGAAGCTGACCAAACCGGTTTGTACAATCCAAGAAGAGAGAGATCCTAGACCGAGGCCGAAATTGAATTAGAGAATAAACCGAACACTTAATCTTACAAATGAGAAAACCAAAGTTCAGTCAGACTAAGTAACTTGACTAAATTCAAAGAGCCCACAACCTATAACCTGAGTCCTCTGACTCCCTGGCTAGTAAAATGCTAGAAAGGTATTTTAAAACTGGGGTTTAGAAAGCCAGTGTGAAAAACTCAGAAAAGCTATCAGCAGGTGCAGCGGGAACCAGCGCAGGGCTAAGGCAGGAGGAATAGCGCAGAAATATTTCTGAATGAGCCTCAGCATTAGGGAAAATATGGCATGTCAGCGAACTCAAAATAAGCCACAAGAGGAGGAAAAACCCCGCCTGGCCCCTGTGGCTAGTGGATTCACCATCGTCCCAGGCACCAAGAGGGCGCTGTTTTGATACCAGTCAGGGCACAGGCCTGGGTTGCAGGCTCAGTGCCCAGCAGGGGGCGTGCAGGAGGCAGCTGATCAGTGTTTCTCTCTCTGTCCCTCTCCATTCCTCTCTCTAAAAATCAATTTTAAAAAAATATTTTTTTAAAAAAAAGAGGGAAAAAACCCAAGCATGCACAGTCTCCTAAACTTTTGGGGGCTATCCGTCTACACGGGAGACCTACCCTATGTACACATAAAACCTGTTCTTGGCAAATTTTAATTAGTAAGTATTCTAATTATGTAAGTATCCTAAGTATACAAGCACTTGCAGTTCCACTGTCAAGACGGGAAAGGTTTTATGGGGCCTCCATTTCGGGACAGGAAAGGCTTTTATTATTGACATTTTTTTCTAAAGGAAATAAAAAATTATACTGCTCAGAATCTCATCTCACACACACACGCACACACACACACACTGCTGACTGGCTTGATCATGAACCTGTAATTCAAAGGATAAGAAATACTCCCCTAATTCTATATTTGTGTTTCAGCTCACTCTTCATTAACTCAGAACATTCACTTTCCCAAAGGCTGTGAAGATTATAAGGAGACATGATCTTAATGGAAACAGAGTAAGTTCAATAAGACTAGAGCATGTCCACAATGTTATCTCTTTCGTAAAAGCTTATGAGATTCTTTCAATGTCTTAAGAGTTCCAGAAAAGCGGCTTTATTCCCACTATGGTTATTACATGAAATGAAAACAATTCTTCACACACCTTAACAGAAACATAAAGCACACTCACCCAACTAAATAAATCATTCATTTACAAAGTTAATGTTTTTCCTGTACAGAAAACTACCTTGAATAACTGAGTGTGGCAATACTGCAGCCCCAAGGCCATCTTTAATAAGAGGTAGAGAGAGATCAAATAATACGGGGCGGGGCAAAAGGAGGTCTGCAGTTGTTCTTATGGAAAAAATGCAATAATTAATAAATAACATAACAATAGACGCTGTGCTTCAAGTACTCACAA